GCCCTTCTGGATCCCCATGTACCCCATGTTAGGTGAAACACCCTCCTTTCCTTCTAAGCCTAGGGTACTGGCTGGCCAACTAACATAGGCTGAGATGCCAGCTTTATTAGAAAAGGTGTAGTGTCCCCATGCTGCTTTCTTCACCTCCATACTTAGCCACATCTTTCTATCATGAATAGCAAAAAGGAGACTGAAATATTTATAGAAGAAATGTGACAGGCATATATGGGCAAATATTGGAAGATAAAAGCCAGGACTCCAGTTCACAATGTGAGTTTGCAAAGGCTGCTGAAAGCAAGGGCTGATCTCTGCAAACTTCCAGCAACACTGTGCAGCCAGCAGCTGTCACTGTAAGCAACGAAGAGGAACAGGAGTGAGAGAGCTGGGGGATGCTCCTAGGTGGGAGGAAAGCAACTGGAAAATAAAAACACAGGAGAAGCTGCAATTAAACACTCAGCAGCTTCCCAAAATCGTCCCCTGTCTGCCAGGAGAAGCCACTCACCAAAAAGGCTCAGATGGCCTTTTAAAATGCAGCCCGAATCTTCCGAGATGCTAAACATGTCTTATCGCAATGGGATCACGGAGCAATAGCAATTCATATCCTGTGCACAAGTGGGATTTAAGATTGGGCAGCCCTTGTGATGCATTTCCCAGGCAGGGCTGAGCAGCATTAAAGGCAAGCAGTGCAGGAAGCCTCTTCCAGCTACCTATTAGCACGTGACAGCTTTGAAACGTTCAAGATCCTCTGCCCACTATCCACATTACTCAGCTGTCAAAGTAAAGGCCTCAGATTTATGATGTGAAAATTACATTTTAACGAGGTGTCATATGTGTTTAAAGTTCTTATTCATCACCATCCCGCCACATCTTTTACCCAAGACACAAATGCACTTAATTAGCATATTATAAGGACAGAGGGTTCACCTTATCTGCATTGTAAAACTGCTCTAGGAGAAGAAACCACCACCCTTACTGAATAAAACGGATGCAGTCACATGTCAAGAGAGCATCCTGAGATACTGAAGGCAAATGTGAAGGATGAAAGTTTGATGGGCACTCTCTGAGGTTTTTAAAGTATTGCAGATACGGATGGAAGCTTCGTATCACATTTCATCACCAGGCTGGCAGTTTGCAGGGTTAATATACAATACACGAAAGCCACTTAAATGCAAAGAGGCTGCCTTACAAGTCGTATATCAAGTCACTATCTTCCTTACAGATAGGACACATTTATTTATGAACATCATACATCCATTAGCATTTCCAGGGTCTCCTGAACATGGGAAAAACAGAACATCTTTTCAAAAGCAGGATGTCTGTATTTTCCATCCCACCACAGGGAACAGCCAGTAGCCTGAGCAGAGCTTAACCAGCAGCAAACAGCCATGGCCTTGCAGCACTTTTCTCCCCAAGGTTCCACCTCTGCTAGCTGCGTGCCTGCAAAGAGCTCTGTGTCACCGCGTGTCGCTGCCAGGACGTGCAAGTGGTGTCCTCATTCTGGTGCCAATTTATGAAGAGACCTTACTGCAGCTGCCCAGAGAATGGAATGCTGAGGGGGCTAATACTGAAGCTAAGCACAGAAACTCCAGATTTTGACACTCGTTTACAGTGAGATGTAAAAGCCCAATTTTTGCTAACAATGGCTTGGGATAGTTCTGTGACAGTGAAGATCTCAAGTGTGTACCAAAGATACCTGCACAAATAGGCCTTTAATTAAAACACACAGAAAATGTTTAATCACTGTGAAGAGTGAGAGGATATGATTCCTGCCTTTCCTATAAGAAAAAAGACTCCTGTCTCCTGTTTTCCCTGGATGGTCTGGGAAAAGACTGAAAATATTTGAGTCTAAGTGATCTAGAGCTTCTAGCACCTGTTTTTTATTTCCCATATCCTTGAAATGTATGATACCAGAGATTTCAAATATGTTTCAAATACGTTAACTGGCTATTTAGGTTGCTAAATATATTACTTTGCCAGTAACAATCAATTTTTGGTTTTAAGAGCTCTGTTTTTAAAACTTCATCCTTAACTGCTTTTTAACAACCAATTTCCTTGACCCATCAATTTTATAATCTTTTATTTTCTAATTAAGCAAATATTGTTTACATATTTTGCTACTCAAGCTATAATGCTACAGAAAATAGCTGCAAAATGCATTTTCTCTTTGAACGTCACCTTTCTGAAGGAACTGAGAAGCTATAGCAATTTTAAAAGAGAAGGGAAAAATGTATCAACAATCTGCTCTTTGTGAAAATAAGTTAAAAAAGGAATCTAAAAATATTTCTTAGGTTTTCACTGCTTTCCCAGTATTACTTCTATTATGCTCTTTGTTGGAGGAGTCATGACAGGTTTAATCCAGCCACATACTTACATGTATGTTGCTTATATATATAGAAATACAGCATGAAATCTCACATTAGCCAAAAAATGTGTTTCATTGGATCCTCAAGGGGACATTCAGGCTGGTTATTAGGAAAAAAATCTTCTCAGAAAGAGAGTTGATGCATTGACAGAGGCTGCCCAGGGAGGTGGTCAAGTCACCAACCCTGGAGGTGTTGAGGAAACGTGGAGATGTGGGCATGGTGGGGATGGATTGGTGGTTCTTGTCCAACCTTAATGATTCTATGAGAAAGTGTCACACAGATCTTGTCTACCAGCTTCTCTCTTTTGAAAAGAATTAAATGTTGAGCACGTGTTTGCTCCCGTACCCAACTCAAAACCAGTGGTTTCATTTGACTAACTAGTAAAATAATGTTCCCCCTAATCAGGCTGTGCAGGTAATGGAGCACTGAACTCCCTCTGCTAATGCATTTTCCTTTGCTTTGAAGTGCCCCAACCCCATTCAAGCTGTCAAGTCAAGGATTTCACTTTCTGTCAGACCAGCCTTTTTACAAAAGTCCTGCAAATCTATATAGCAGTGAGGTAAAGGGACACCAATGCAGTTCTGCCAAACAGACAATTTCAGCAATTTTCAGAGAAAACAAAAACAAAAACAAACAAACAAAAAAGCAACACATGTAAAATTCAGCTTTGTGCCCACGTTGCAAAGCTATAAAAAGTGTACAAAAGAGAAGGCTTACCAGATTCCCTGACATCAACTTAACCTTCTTTTTCCAACATCCAAAGCCAAAACTACTTCACCATTTCATTTTAGAGGATGGTGGGTTTTAAATTCCCACCCAAACACTGGTGAAATCAAAGGGACTTCAAATCCCAGCCAAACAGCATGACACGGGAATAACTCAAAATCTTATGCTGACATTCCCAGCCTTCTACAAGATTTTCATCTGCTCTCCGATCTCATTGGCTTAGACTGCTAGGAAAATAGGATGGGATGGGAAGGTACTTAATTTTTTTACAAAAAAGAAGTGCAAAATTTGAGTTTTCCATTAAAAATGGCTTTTTTTGTTAAAGATGCTATTACTGAAAAACACTTCATGAAAAAGAGGCAGTAGAGAGTCCACTGTAATGCCTGCAAATGAATCATTGAAAAAGAGAGAAATCCTGTAAAATAGGAGGGATGGAATTGATTTTCACTCCTTGGGGATAACCAATAACTAACAAATTGCTCTGCTTCACTCCACTACTCACAAAGTACATGCTCGTCATTAAGTTGGGAGAATGAAAAGTGTTACTTTATTTCTTGCTCATTTTAGATCTTGCAGAAGTCAAAATCATTGAAAGGATCCCTGCTCTTCCCTTAACAGTCACTCAGGGTCATTCATTTGGCTCTTCAAGGAATCCTTCTTGTCTTCCTTACTTTTTTTTTTTATCAAAATTGGAAATTCATTGCTCGATTACTACCTCTATTTCACATATCCCCAGATTTTCATATCCTCAGTTTCTTTCAGCCTTTTTAAAATGTGGATGACAGGATGTACATAGGAAAAGGAAAGTTCATCAACAAAAACATCTCTGCTCCTCTTCTGGCAATCCGAATCCATTCTTAGTTTTTCTCATCATCAAAAAAGAATATTTTGGAAATAACAATGCTACTAATCATCTAGTTTAGTATCTAAATTACATTACTTCCATCAACCCTCATTTCTTTTTTAGCATCTCTAGAGACATGGTCCTTCACAGGAAATACCTGGTAACTCTGACTAAAATAAGTTTATGTACAGCAGTAACCATTTGTAAAAGGTTTAGCACAGTTTGGAAATTCTTGCACCATCAAACAAGTATGACCACAGTAAGTCTAAGTCATGTTACTAGCCAAGTGGCAATTGTGAATGCAATACTTGCAAAAAGATGAAGATGGTAATCTTAAGTGACTGTAACCCAAATGAGTAATTAACAGTGTAATTTCTGACACTAAAAAACATAGAAAAGCTGGACATCCTCTGAGGATGGATAGGGTGGATGTTCCTCTATTAGAGAAAGTATGTTACAATGTAGACCTGAATTAAATGCTTTAAAAAAAGAGCAACTTAAAAGAAATGAAAAAAAAGCAACAGTTTGGAAGATTTTGTTATCAGTTTCTCTCCTGATTCTAGATATGCATTTGTGAGTGCTTACATTCACAATAATTAGTGGCTTCTGTAAAAGGCTCACGCTCCCTCATCTTAATGGAACTAGCTCATCTAAACTGGCCTGCAAATTGTCCCATGCTGTTTGCAGCAACAGCATCTTCCATGCTTTGTTTTGCCAAAATTCCTGCAGAAAGGGCGATGATCTTATGTATGGAACAAAATTCAATTAAAAAGAAAACAGCGTTGCTATTTCTGTGATGTAAAAAAGAACACGGGCATTTGGAGACTGTTTCAGGTTAGTTACAGGTAGCATACCTGTTTTTCTGTTTCATTATGGACTAAGATATTAAAAAATATATTCTGCATTTATTAATGTCTGAACATCCATCATAGGTATTGCAGTAGGGCTTAATTGACAAACACAAGCAGATCATTACCACAGGATCATACCTCAATTTCACACCCAATTTGTGAGAAAAATAGAAATCCCAGTTCAGATTTTGTCTCCCTTATTATTAAAACCCTTACCTGTTCTGCTGTCCAGCGGGCCAAAATCCAAGGAATACTTCACTACGTGATAGTTGTTCCATACATAGAGAAGGTTGTCCCGGGGATTATAATCCACAGCAGCAATGTACTGATAGGAGTTTGGAAAGGGCACATCCACCATGCTATCCTTGCTTTGGTCAGTGTTATATATGTAGTCTATTTTATTCCCTGTGGCTTCATTGTCATCATCTTCATACACAGACTTGACCACATATAAAATCCCACAGATCATAAAAGCGTTAGAAGCTGACCTCTTGTCGTAGGCAGTATCCCACGTCCCTTCAATCCTTAACGTATAAGGGTTTAACTGGCTAATGACTATTTTGCCATTATTTTGTTCTGTTGCATAGATTACCCATAGCCCATTCTCATCCACGGCCAGGTCTATATCAGACTTTCCTCCCCAGCGGTAGGGAGAGGTGTCATGGTAATTTGCATTAGCTATGATAGCCTCCCCGCTCTTTATCCTTGTCCGCAAGTCAAACTTGACTATATTTCGGGTTCGCTCCTTGTTGAAGAACAAAGCCCCATCGTACACCACAAACCCTGTGCCGTCCACTCGGTGCGGGAGTTTGTAGGTCGTGGTTGGCCTCCCAGCGATGAAGTCATCCTTGGAGGAGTACTCCGTCAGTGTGTCTGTCCGATAAGGTGTCCAAGGCATGTAGTAGATCTTGTCAGACGCCTGCAGAGGGTCTTTGCACCAGGCACCAGACTGGTGGTCGGATTCAAACAGGTGTTCACTCTGGTATACTCCTTTTAGCAGTCCAGGACAAAGGAAAACTGTTGGAGGGGGAAAGAATTTAAAACAAAAACCAAAGTTAATGAGACTCTGGAGGTGGTTGGACCAAACTTTGAAATAGTCTGCAGTTCTGCAGCAGAGGACACTCGAGGTCAAAGCAATGCCCTGTAACTGGAGACCAGCCATCCTGCTGGCCAAGCCTCTAGAACAAGACTTGCTCCACCAAATTTATTGTTTTTCTGCTTTTTCTCTCAACTTTGGCTCATTTTCTTATTACTTTTCAAATCTATTTTTACAGGTGTACTTACTTGGACCGCTCTCCTTTGTAAACTCTGAAATGAGTATGTGCCCCCAAAGGATTTCTGGGTTTGTATTTCCAGATTACATTGCAGTGAATCTGTACCTACTAGGTGAAGGGGTAAACTCCGGGGGAATTGTTCCACATAGTTATTTTGAACAGCCCACTGCAGAGTGGCCTAGAAATGGAAATAAGAGAAAGAAATTCCCATCCTTACGGCCCAAGTGATATTAAATATTTAAAGGGTACCAATAGCAAAGCAGAGGAGAATCCCTTAGCAACTCAGAAGAGCATTTAAAGCAAAGGGAGCAGGAGAGGGAATACCCAGCTACAGACCAGTAGTGGAACTAGAAATGAGAATTCTGAAGCTGCTACAGGACACACGAAACATGCAGTCCACACAATTAAAAATGAATGATGTATGAAGGCTGAAAGGAAAAGGAAGGAAGGAAGGAAGAAAGAAAGGAGAGAAGGAAGGAAAAGAACTGGAGAGTTCCACTGGAAAGGAACCCGAGGTCTAGATTTTAATCAGTTAAAAAATGTCCTGTTAAATATAGTAGTAACTCGTAACTTAAAAACATATACCTTCTATTGTTACATGAGAGGAGCACAGAGGAGCGGTTTGACTAACTGGGGTGCTTTGCTGCTCAGACTTCTGGGGGGAAGAGAGGGGCCGGCTCGTGGCTGGGGCATGCCCAGGGCTCGGGAGGAGGTCAGTACTGCCCGGCTGATGCTGGCATCCCAGGAATGCCAACGCCGAGAGTCTGGCCGGCTGCATGGGGAGACAAAAGGGGCACGGGAGGGATGCGCAGAGAGAATCAGGCTTGTCGGCCTTCGTTGTGCACCTCAGCATTCTCTGACCCGGAGGGCTGCACAGGCTTCAGGGGGAGAATATTTGCCGGTTATTTGCAATGGCGATCTTCAGGCACTCGAATAACCACCAGGATGAGAGATGCAGTGGGGAGCTGCAAAGAGGCATCCCACCCAAGTTTCTGGTAGCACAGAGCTGGCAGATGGGATCCTGCATTTGTGCTCCCTGCTTGGTGTGTAACCAATTATTTTCTAAAATTCAGAAATTGGTAATATCCTCTGGAGAGGGAAACAGGAGGAAAATCAGATTTAGCAGCTGGTGTAAAAGCATATCGCCTTACTGGAGTCTCAGAAACCACCGCAAGTAGCTGACAAAGGGGTGCCATTTCTAAAAGGCTTTTGCGGCATAATTAGATATACTTATGCACATACATACGTGCGTGTGCTTTCCAAATTCTTTGGGGCAGGAGAAAAGTGAATTATCTAAACCGTTGAATAGAAATTTAATGAAAGAAAGCGGTACCGGTAAAACTTTTCAGCAAAAATGAGTTATCTCATGAAGTTGAGCAGCAGAGAGACTAAATAAACTTTAACAAAAAAGTAGTGAGAATTAATGACAAAGTATTTCAACTAAAACGTTAAACTGTTAAATAACTTAGCCTACACATAAGTAATATATATATAATTTGAAAGGTATTTAATTACCTTTTTGCTCCACTTCTATTGTAGAGAGAGAAGTAAAGAGAGAAAGGAGAAAAGAGAATAGATTAATGGTACTGTATTGGCCAGGTACTTTTCTTTACCTCTTTCATATGAAAAGGAAGAATTTATAATTTACTTTAGATACTGCTATAGTATGTGAACATTTTTTATATATAGATATATTTAAAGCCTTCCCTCTCACATACACTGGATAACATGCAGACAAGCTGAAAAAAATACAGACATAATTTCACTTTATAAAAGCCTTTAAAAGGAAGAAAACCAACACTTGAGACATACCAAGCCCCCTAAGCACTCTGAGATACCTCAGTAGCAGCAGCCTTGGACTAAGTTCATGGAACAAAATGAAATACCCGTACTCTGAAATATGACTGATCCAGATTTATGTAATAGAATGAACTCTTCCAGGGAGAAATTCTATGAAATATACATCATCATATATTTTGCCAAAATCCTGTAAGTTAGAGATGCCTACTTTATTGAGCAGGAGAACATTTCCTTATGAGACTTATAGAGAGCTTAGGTAGTCAAATGGAACACATTCATAGACATTTGCAGAATCTTGTCTTATGTCTCAGAAAAACAAGCTTCAGTACGACTCAGAGAAATAAAAAAAACAAAAAACAACACAACATTTTAAATATTGTAATACTTACATGACTGTCAATGAGAGTCCAGAAACTTATAAGGCTAATGAGTTAAAAATATCTAAGCATTCTTTAAAATGTCCAACCCCACAACCCACAGGATGTTTTTATGTGAATTATTAACCACTCATAATAAGGCTGCTGAAGAGGCTGTGTCCCTTTGGAGAAAGTCCCTTGCAGACAGAATAAATAAATACAGTGCATGTATTAATCACTAAATGCTCAGTTACAGCTTCTATAGCTAACAAGGAGGCTCTGGGGGCCCTCATCCCCAGGACTCCTATGGTTGTGGCACCAATCCCTTCTTTTCACAGCCCACTGTGGCTGCAGCAGCAGCTGAGCACAGCTATTCAAGCAGGATTCTGTCTGCCTCTGCTCAGTGTTTGGCTGAGCCACTCAGGACAGGATGCTGCTGTAGGGTCAGCAGGGAGCTGGTGCACCAGTTGGACCCCTGTAGCACAAGCCTGTCCTGTGCTAGCTCCTGAGCCATGCTGCCAATACGAACCGTGCAGCTCTCTTTTCCGAGTGCCTGCCTCTCTTTCAAGGGACACACAGAAAGCCACGTGCCAACATACTGAAACAACCAAATGGAACTCCAGTGTTTGCTGACTGTGATGTGTTTTGTGCAGCAGCACTCAGGGCTTCTCTGGAAAGTCAGAATATGGCAATGGGAAAGCAGGCCTCAAACACCTCCCGCACTTCCCACCCTCAGGTTTGCCGGTTCTGCAGGGCCTCTTCCCAGAAGGTATAGGAGAAGACAGGGCCCATGAAATATCACCAAGGGAGAAGCGAGAACTTGCCAGTAAAACAGTATGGTTTTGACAGCTGAGAGATCTCTGTTCAGAGAAGTGAGACAGGAATGTAAAGGTATGCACACGTGCTTTGCTTTTGCTTGCCCAGAGCTCACTCCATCCCTTTCCAGACCGAGACACTTGCCAAATGACTGTCCTCTGGTGCTGTGACTGCAAATCCCTCGTGTTCAAAAGTCTCATTCGTTTGGATGGGAAACTGCAGTCTAAATGGAAGATCAACAGGCTGAACGATTCCAGGGTGAGACTGCAAATGCATTGGCTAGACACATGGGTCTGTACTTCTCCACGTGCAGAGATGCATGTCCAGAGCCAGCTATGTAACAGCAGCTCCCAGAACGAACATTTCCAAGCTTAAACAGCCTTTTCACCTGGGCTTTGATTCAGGCTCTTTTCTATCTTACAGCAGGTTGAGGTTAAAGGTAAATGTTTTCACCATGTGGCTGCCAGGGCTCTAGCAAGCAGAGACAACACTTCAGTGCAAGCACCTGATTTTGCAAGGGATAAAGCCAGCAGGACTAAAAGGCACCACACCAAGCAACTGGAGAAACTCACACAGAAATTGCTCTCCGTGTCCCAAACTGTGGCTATAAGGTATTAATAAAAACATTAAATTTCCCTTGCAAATGCAAGAAAGTAACGTGACAGCTCTTCCAATATATGCCTTCCCACAAGAACACTGATTCTTCTGGTCTGATGTCCTACTGTACCTCTGGCAGCGCAGAAGGCAGTAGTTCAGGTTTCATGATGAGCACAAACTTTTGTAATGCACTCCAACAACTATGCAATGTTGTAAAGCAGGAAGAGGGAAGCTTTTACAGGAGATAATGTATTCACGACCAGCTGAGCTGAGTGACTCGAAACACTGATTACCCTTATCCTGAATAGCTTGCACATGTTATTAATGGCCAGTGCCATACCCAGTTCTGTTATAATTCCAGACATTGTACATGTTCTGGTGAGTTCCTGCATGGTGCTCTTGATGCTTTCCATTGTATATATTCCAAATACATACTTTCCTCCTGCTGACTGAAGACTTAATGCTTTTGAATTTCACTAATTCCACTGCTTATACTGGGGACAACACTGTATTATTCAAACAGGTTGCAAGAGAAGCCTGAAGGGTTTAACTTGTTGAATTGAATCAAAAGAAAGGGTCGAATTGGGGTCTAATTATCACATCAGTTATGCAAAACATCACCGCAAATCTGTCTTCACACAGTAGTGACTGAATTTTGCTAGATTCCAGTTAATTTTACATCTCTACAAAATAACTTAAAAGTGCCAGTTTGCAGCATTTAAAAGCTCCTTATAGCACAGGAGGCCATTTACCTTCCTAAAGGGATCTAAAATAAAAACATCTCCATACAGTTATTTCTTTTACAATGAGATCTTCTGCTCCTACTAATGATACAATATTCGTTTGAACAGAACAAGGATATTTCACCTTGACTTCCTATGTTGCTTGCAGGCTGGTGCCATTGGCTTCCAAAGCATGAAAGGCTGGAAGGAAATCAAGAACCCCTCAGTGAGTCTGCAGGAAGTTACAAGACTTTCCATGCACCCTGACTATCTCCCATTTCTTCTGATGGAAGAAAACCCAGGTCCAACATGTGACTATCGGTCGCTAGAGCCTGCTGTGCCCAGAGCTGTGTGATCCAACAGGTTCCCTGCCACTCGTTTGGAGAAATCACACAAACAAATTAATTAAATGCTCTCAGCACCACTGGGTAGAGGCTCTGAAAACATACTCC